AAGTAATCAAAGAAGGAATGGGGAAACACATCAGCGAATGCAAGTGCAGACCAGCAAACTTTTGTTGTATGCATTCTGGGCATGACTCACATTCATCAAAGAGAATCTTAACATTCAGCAGGTTAGTCAGAGCAAGGCATGAAACAAAGAGAACCCATGAAACAATAGAAATAGACAAGAGAAAGCGGTGCATACAAACTAGCGGATGGTTTGCTATCTATCTTCATGGGAAACCCACAGGTTCGAAAAACTGACTTAAACAAGACTCCATCCTTCTAGGAAAACTTTGACTGGACATTTTCTAAACCAAACAACCATAAACATGATAGTTAATCAGAGAAAAGACAAGGACAAGCTCAACCATGAAGAGGAAATGCAAAATTTTCGAATGCATCAAAATTACAGAAACTCATCATACAAACAGGAAAATCTTTTGCGAGAAAAGAAAATTTTGCAATCTTCTGGGTTTATCGTTTTCAAACACAAAAACCAGCCATGTCTCAGGCAAAACCCCACGGATTCATCAGATAAAAAAACTATAGAAAACTCCAAACCCGTTTCCTTTCAAAAGTTCAAGCATGGCAAAGTTCAAGCCTGCCAAACCCCAAACCTGCAATCATCCCATGACCTTCTACCGAATCAGAGGTTATCAAACACACAAGCATGGCAAAGTTTTGATACCAACGAAAGTTCAAACCATCAACAAACAGTCCAAGATTCATGTCCCCGGGCTTGAGTTCTCATAAAATCTTGTTAGATCAACAAGGAAGAAACGATAGTTACCTTTGGACCCTGACGAAGTAAAATGAACGTGAGATGTCCCAGATTTCAAAGACTCCCTTCACTCCCTTTGAATCTCCCTCGATCTTCCTATTCTCTCTAGTTTTTGTTGCTTTGTTCTTCTCTTTTCTGGTTCCCCAGTCGCCGTCCCTATACCTCCTCCCACAAAACGCTCTTTTCCTTCCTCTTTTTCCTTCTTTCTTGCTGTTTGTTCCTTTTCCGCAGCCCTTCCTTCTCCCTTGCTTTCTGGTTTTTTCCTTTTTCTCCTACTTTCCCGAAGCTCCTCCCTTTCTCCCTCGGTTTCCTTTTTTCTTCTCCCCAAAATCCTTGTTTTTTCACTCCTGCCTTTCTTCTTCTAGTTTCTTTCCCGCTGCCCTTCTCTCAACCCTAGCCGCCAAACTATCAATCCATTCCCCCTTGGTTTCTCTCTCTCCCCCCCCCCCTTTAGTTTTGCTCTTGCCCGTAGGTTCTATTGTTTTCCCTTTTTTTCGTGTTTCTTTTTTTCTTCCAATTTTCCTAAGCTTCCCAAGTGTCTTCCACCTACCTCCCTCCCTTTACAAGTGGTATCAATAAAATGGGGACACTTATCCTATTTGCATTCACTAACACTTGTCCAATACTTCCCTAATACACTTGTTTAATACTCCTTTAGCCAAGTTGTTCAACATGCAAACCCTCCACCTATCTTCTTATTTTTATTTATTTATTATATTTTTATTTTCCAAAATCAATTTAGATAAACAAAGAAAATGCTAATTCCTAATTGAAATTGCATTGCAAGATTTTCATTGATTTTAAAGAAATTGAATTTAAGATGATTAAAACATATTTTTGTGAAAATTTTTCTTTTCAAAATTTTAATACAAAAATATCTTAAAAATAAAAATTATGAACCTATTTTATAAAAATAAGCAAAAATGAATACTAACTATCATTTAATCAATAAAATAAAATAAAATAAGAATAATAGGAATAATAATAAAAAAAATAAAGCTAACATTGAATTAAATAAGAAATAAAGCTAAAAATCAAATAAATGAAATTTTGGTGTCTACAGGGGTGAGCTAACGCTCAGTAAGGCCAAGAAAGAAAACAGGCAAGCAAGCAAGTACTGCAAGTATTAAACTTATAATAGAAAGGCAGTCACATAATATTCATGTAATTCACAAAAGAAACCAAGACACAATCATTAAAGGATACAGAAGCTCCAGGAGCTAACTCCACACTGTTTTGCCAAGATCTTGATCCAAAATTTCAAATATTGATATTCCGTCAACCGAGCAAGTATCAAGTCCGTAGAACCCCACTTTTCACCAAATTTTCGTTCACCGTTACACCCCCTATCTGGCCCGCACGTCAAACAAGTTTTTGATATTACTCAAGTATATCCAAGTCAAGTAAGTGTTCAAGGTTCACCAAACTCTTCAACCAAGCCCTTGTTGGCTTGAGTTGAATGGCTAACCATTGGTTTTGGACGTCCCCACAAGTTCAAGTATAAGTCGAAGAGATTGCTCTCAAATCGACACCAAATCAATCACAAGTATAATTGTCAAGTACGAGCAGGTCAATTATCAAGTCAAGTAAAAGAGAACGAGTGCGATAAATTACACACTCGTCTGAACAAGTCCAATTCACATATTCAACAAGAAGTAGTTCAAGTATTATGCAACAAGTCATACACGTCCGTTTGGTTGGATTGAGGAAAATATTTTCGATAGAAGTCATTTTCCTGGAAAATCACTTCCTTCCCCATATTTTTCCAGTGTTTGGTTATTTAGTGAAAATATTTTCCAAATTCCCTTTTTTCATTATTTTCCGGTGTTTGGTTTGTCAGTAAAATATTTTCTGATGTGTTTGTTGATATGTTGCAAATGTTTTCTATTTTCAAAACATTCAATTTATTACAAGTTATTTTTAGTTTCTATCCATTATAATCATATTATCATTTTTATAAAATATTTATTCATATTACACCATGAATTCTTAAATGGAATTATTAATGATACTAATTAATTGACTTTTTATCTTCCTTTTAAAAAAATCATTAAGGGGAGAAGAGCCTCTTTTATGAAAATTTGAAAGTTTAATTGATGATCACTACCGAGATCCATCAATGAAAATTTAATATAATTATTAATTGACTGCATGCATATAATCGTTAATTAAGTGAACTGTGGCAACTAAAGGTAGTAAATTAAAGGTACATGATACCAGAAGTCGCTGCCACTATGTAGTTAGTACCTCATGAAAACTAATCAAAGTTGACCGAACTCAAAGTAACACTACTCTGTTTTCTTGATATATGGAAACCAGAGTTCTTAACTCTTCAAAATATTATTCAAGTTTGGAATTGCTAGGGGCCAAGAAAAGATAATTATAAGTGTTTTGATATCCCAGAGAGAGAGAGAGAGAGGGGGGGAAGCTGGGTGGTGGAGTGGGTCTTCAATTGTCTCAATGGGAGGTGGAGTGAGGCCGTGATTTTCCATCTTTCGGTGAAAGCTGTGTGAAAGGAAAATAACTTCAGAATGATAGACAAGGAAGTTATTTTCCTTCTCTAGGTGTAAGTTCTTTTCCATTGGAAATCATTTTTTCAAATTAATTAACAACCAAACAATGGAAAATGTGGAAAATGTTTTCTGGAAAACATTTTTCGCCCAAACAAACAGACCCTTAATGTAATTGAGTTGGAAAATAGTGTGACAAAAGTTGAAATATGATGTGGTTGAATTAAAAAATGATGTAATAAAATATGAAATTATAAATACCCAAAATCAAGAAGAAATACAACTTGTCAGGTCTCAAATCCAGATCATGGGGCCTCTCTAGAACTAAATATGTAAATCCAATCTAAGAAACAATGGTGTAATAAAATATGAAATTATTAAATATCCAAAACCGAGTAGAAATACAACTTGTCAGGCCTTGAGTCTAGATCAGGGGCCTCTCCAGAACTAAACATGTAAATCCAATCTCAGAAATAATTATTAAATTGCAAAGATTGAAATACACAAGAAAGACACAATCTAAAATAATCAAAATCCAATTTAAGAAACAATTATTAAATTGCAAAGATTGAAGTGCACAAGAAAGACATAATCTGAAAGAATAAAAAATATTTAAATAAGATTGGAATCCAAATCAAAGAGATCGATAATCAGAATCATGTGATCAAGAGGTGCCGCCACTGCATAAGAAAAACTCTATCCTTCATCAATTAGGAAACACTCAATACGATTATATTTTTCTATAAAACTTCCCAAAAATTACAATCTAAACCGGACGAATTTCAGTATGTCTATTATACGTGGTATTGATTATTCCAAGTATTGAATAATCAATACTTTCTTTTCAAATTTAAATTTTTAATAAAATTTAGAGGTGACATCCCTCCCCCATGTATGGGGTTTGCCATTATTCAAAAAAAAAAAAAAAGAGACTATTCCAAGTATTGAAAAAGAAAGACATCTTTCACTTAGATATCAAATTGTTAGAATTAAACTTTTTATTGGATGTCTCTTTTGGAAACTGCAGTGTACCATCCGTGGCCGTGGGTACGCCTCTTTTCATTTATCTTGGCATCTTAATTTTTCTACATTTTTATTTGGTTTTCTCATCTCCAGCCGTTGGAGACTAAATTTTGACTTTTCTCAAAGTTATACTTGCTTCAGGCACTAAGAGACTTGTCAAGAATGAGACATGCAAATTTAAGCATTTAATTAAGAGAGTTCAACTTAGACTAATTTGCTTTTCTTAAAAGAAAAGTAAAAAAACTTGGATTAATATGCAACTAAAAGTTCCACCTCAGCTTTGACAACTCGACTGGAACTTTTTCTTTTTATTTCAATTTTAGGTGGACCAAGTCTGCTAGTTCTCGGTATAACATGTATTACAAGTTGAGTCAAAGCGCTCAGTTGTGGTCCCAGCCCCCAAAAAAAAAGAAGAAATAGTAAATTTTTATGCTTTTGACTGCAACCAAGTATTCACCGGAAGGTCTAAGGACAGGTATACAGCGAATGGGTTTAATCAAGCATTTTTTAACATACTAGAGACTAGACCAACTATTAGTTTTTCTTTTCTTTTTTTTCATTTTAAACTTTTTGACCAATGACCAGTTTTTTATTTTTTTTTAGTTCTTTCTTTTGTCCTTAAAGTGGATGGAAAATAGGGCTCCTCTTACTCTCCTATTACCTGAGAACTTAAAAACTACTTACAAATTATGGGTGAAATGACATCAGTTTTGATATTCGAAACTCCAATGTCAAATATCAAGATCTTGTGCAACGCATTTGCACAATATAGTAGATCTTCCAAAGAAAAAAAAAAGGAAAATTCTAATGGTAAATCTCAAAATCAGAAAGATTCTCAAGTTTTGAGGAACAATACAAGTACAAATTAGCTTTTGAGAAAGAAAAACAAGGAATTATCGACTGTGGAGTGATATTTATGCATGGACATTAAGCATCACTGGAACTGAACTACTGAGGCTTCTGGCACGTAAGAATGCAAAACTTAAGCAGACCATTTTTGAATGTGTCGAACACTGACGGCATCATCAGAAACTTGATGCTCATTTGCCTCCATCCTATTAATTGAAATTGAGAAAAGATGGAGAAATGGTTAAGAATTATAGCATACAATTACAAGGTAGATAATGGTAATGAATTGGCTATGCTAGTGAAATACACAATGCTTACCAGCATGTCTAACATACGACATGATTCCCTTCCATGACAACGTTATCTTCCTCATTTCTGCATAATGTGGAGCAACGTGTGGAGACCAGTCTGCATACTTGATCTCCTAATTAACAACAGGAGGCTTAGATAATCGGGAAAAGGAAAACTTTGTGATGAAGAAAAATAATGATTCTGGTCGAATAAATGAGCCGCAAAAAGTAAACGCAATTGAATACCTGAAAAGAGCATGACTTGAATAAATTCATATAATCAGCAGCAGAAATCCACTTAGCACGACTTCCGCTCACCACTTGGGTCAGTAACTTTTTCTCATCCGGATGCAAATCTCGTTCAAGGGGCGAAAGATCCCTATGACACCAAGTAACTAAAATGATAGTAGCACCAGGGGCAGCCACCCGATTCAACTCATGAACAAACTTCATCAAGAAGAAAATAGCATCAGCAGAATTTTACATTATTGACATTTATGTGATACCTACGTTCAACAAGTAGGGTAGATAATCATTTTTAAAGAATGATAAAAACAAAAAAAAAATAAAGAGAAATAGTAATTGTAAAGGAAGCTGCGACAAGAAATATAACCTTTGTTTTGTCGCTTATGTGATCTGCACATTCAATGCACCAAATTAAATCGAATGAACCATCTTCAAATGGCTGATTCAATGCATCTGCCACTTCAAAGGAAACCTGCTATGTACGTTTTAGCAGCTGTTAGGAAAAGAAAGCAGCACTACTATATATCTGCATAATGATTTTGCATCTTTTTCTTTCTTACTTCTCTTTCTAGCATTGTGGTGGCTTTTACTTGGAATTTGGAGTAAAGTTCCGAGTCATTCTACAAAGTTTATTTGAAATGTGACTTGATCTGAATTTAAAACTTGGCATAATCAATAATATATTGTTAATCTTCTCTATACTGACATGCATAATAATTAATCTTAATTTGAATTTCATCTAAATCTAATAGTGTATAAATTATTAGTTATTGCATAGAAGATTAATTCTACATACATACATCTATATACATACACACATATATGTATATATATATATATATGCATGTATATGTGCATGTGTGTGCATGTTGTGTGTGTGTATGTATGTATATGTATATGTACATGTATATATATATATGTATGTATATATACACATACACATACACACACGCACATATATATGTATGTATATGTATATGTACACACATACGTATGTATCCAAATTCAAGAGTTAACATCATTACCTAAGCTTATTGATAATACATATTTGAATTCAATTCTATTATGAGATAATTTTATCCCCTAAAATTCAGGATTCAAAAATTTTGCATTTTTAGTGTATAAAAAGTAAAGGTGAGGATGGATAATCAAAACAAAACTATCACAAATTAGGATTCTTGAAACTTTTGAGTATCTGGTTTGCTTTCATGAACACAATTTATTACTTTTTCAAAACCATAGTAGTAGTATGCACTCTGTCATCATTCCTTAAGAAATGGAGGAATGAAAATTTTTACTTATTGTGCACTTGCATAAAAAGAGTGAGCAGCAAGGGTGATTTAACAATTGATAACTTCTTGCAAATCGTTCAAAATTGTAAGACGGAGAGTTCATACAAACCTGGCTTTCTAATCCTTGGGCAGCAGTTAGAACACGAGCTCTTTCAGCCTCAACAGGGCTAAGGGTGATGCCTTTACATTGAGAACCATATTTACTTGCTAGGTACCTGGTGCTGCCACCAATACCGCATCCAACATCAAGTATGTTTCTTGGTTTCTTCGATGGATCCTCTGCATATTATTTCATGATAAATAATGCCCGTTGGTTGACTACTAAACAAAAAAATGAAACAAAAAACGACCAAGTTGGAGAGGAGAAAAAACTAGAAATTATGAGGAGGATGTTTCACTAGGAAAGAAAATAGACACATTGAAAAGCAATCAAACCATTTCTTTTTTCAATGTGTGCATGACCTAAACCCAGAGTATCAATTACAGAAATTGCATATGATTGCCCCAAAAAACAAATTCTATGCTTAATTTATATTCACATTGCATCAGGCTTGTCCAAATTATAGAACTAATCCTGTACTTTGACCAATTTGTAATCTAACCTTTTGAATAGCCAAATACCTAAATCCATTGCAAATGTAGTCAAAGAAAAACTAAAACCACTAAAATGAGGAAAGACCAACAGAAAAAAGAAAAACAAAATGTTGCTTCTGTTTTTATCCTTTCCCAATTGATTATCCCCATTTACATGTGCATGTACTATTGGGTGTAGAATTTGGTACTTCAATTCAAACTAAGGGATTTAAAATTCCTCTTTAGATTGTACGTCAGAAGTTTAAACCCTACATCCAGAACTTATAGTTAAAAAAAATTCAAAAAGTGTGTCAGAGCACCTCTTTGGTTTAGATGAACTTGCTTGCTCTCTAGCCCTTTATACAACGCAGTTGGATTTCTCCCCTATAGGGTAAGATAGTATAGATATTACTGATTGATAAAAAAAAGTTGAAATGGTGTTGTTTGTGACGGGTATTTTACATACGTGCAAGCTAAAAAATACCGAATTACACCCGTTCACTGCAAGTATACAGATCAACTAGTAGTTTAGGGTATATATCAGGTCGATCCCACAGGGAAGAGTGAACAATTACCGGTATTACTAAAGCTTCTCTATTATTTAGACTATCAATGAATTATAACAAATTTAACCTATTGAAATTATACAAAATGACAAATGAAAGCTCCTTAGGTTGTGGTATCCCTAACTACTCATGCAAGTGCTATATTTGGATCATTAATTACTACATCTAGGCTAGTTATGGTGTAATTTCCTTATGCATTTGAATCCTATTTTCGTAGTGAATCAATTATACTTATAACTAATCCATACCTATTCTCATGGTTATGAAATTAGCTACAAGCTCATTTCTTCAATGAAATTACATGAAATGAATCACTAAAAACCACATAGGTGCACCTCTACTTTCGTGAGTGTACTCCCTATGTTTAGCACTTCTTGAACTAGTGTTAAATCTCAATTTTCATTGCAGAAACAACACCTTAGATAATCACAATCAATGGTACCAAATTAATCATGATTTAAAGAGCCAAAGTGCTAAATAACTTGCTCAAATCATAGCAATCAAATAACCAAATAATAAACACTAACAATTATAGAAAGTTCAACCAAACCCAAGGTATAAACTTTAGAAACACATATTAAACACAAAATCCAGAACTTGTATATTAACTAAACTTGGAATCAAATACAAAAGATAAAGAATTTGGAAGGAATACAACCCTTGTCACATGAGCTTTCTTCCTTTCCTTCTTCATCCTCCATCTTCATCCTAATCTAGATAATAAACAAGAATGGAAAAGCTACACTACTCTATACTAAGCTAAACTAACACTAGAGAGATGAAAGAGCTACATTTCTGCAACTTCAAGCTTCTCTCGTATGTCTCTCTCTATTTTCTGCTATGAACTCCCATTCTCCCCAATCTCTTTGCAATGAATTTTGGCTCTTTTATGATGAAAGGTGGTCAAGAAATGAGGATTACATCTCCCTTTTACAGCTGGGAATGTTTCTCACATGTCTAGCATCCAATGTGAGTTGGTGGAGGTGAAATTGAGTTTTACGCGTATAAAGAAGCCTTTTCTGACCAGTGATCCGAGCTGCTACAGTGCCTCGGATCCGTATGGATCCGAGCTCGGTTCCACTAACCCAGAAACAACCGAGGGTTTGGATGAATAGTGGATCCGAGTGTGGATCACTTGCTCTATTTTTGGCCCAACTTCAACCAATCTTTTCTTGATGTTAGAGGCTGAACCAGCTCATGTCTAAAACATGAAAGTTGTAGCCTTTTGAGTTATCTTTCTAATGCATCAAGAATCACCTCATTTGGATCTGTGTAGGCGGAGATATGACTGAAATACCCTTGCCTGCTCATTGCCCTGTTCCAGCTTCGACCAGTAGAAATTTGCTATTGTAATTCGGCATTTTGACCTGGAAAACCTTCAAACTGGATTTAGATGTCTTCACCAAAGTTGTAGATCTATCTCTTATATTCAAATGGGTTCAAGAATCATCCCAATCCGATCATTGTAACTCAAGTTATAGCCGAAATACGAAAATGTGGCAAAACTGTCAAAATACACAAAATCCAAGTAAAAAGTGATAAAAACCTCATTTAATCACTTAAAAACATTTATTCACCAATTATAGCCAAAATGATTCATATTCTTCCACTAATATAACCAAAGTGACTAAAAATAATATAAAATGTCATACAATTATTACGTAAATTAGTCACTTATCAGTTTGGTCATGAACTAAAAGTTTTATTTTCTTTCTTATGTGTGAAGAAGTATTTGACTTGAAAGGAAATAATAGAATTAAAGTGAGGGCTGCGTTTAATTGCCAATATTGTATTTAAAGTGAGGGCCAGGTATTTGACAAATGTTTTGCTACTGGGGGATTCGACTGTAATCTGATCAAATCACAAGGCATACTTTTTAATTAGGTCAAATCTCAGGAAATATGATTGAAATTGACCCAATTTTGAGTGATACCAATAAAATTATGTGTTGATTTTTCGAAGGTAAGCAATATTTTGTGTTGTTAAGAACAAGATGCATGACTAGCGCAATTGGGCGAGAAATGCTATTCCATCTTAGATAATTCTTTAATATTAGGTGGCTGTTTAAGATTAGAATAAATTTTATATACATTGTAAGTATATATACTATCAAATTCAAATTTTGCACATGTATTATATATTTAATGGTAATAGTATATACACTGACAGTATTTATTAAATTAATCCTTAAGATTACGACGAAGTATTTCATGTAGTAGAGATTCTGACAAGAGCACTTATTTAGTGTTCAATTTTATCATTTGGGTGCAAGGTTACATAAGTGCCTTTTCTATTAGAAATATTTTATCAATTTATTTAGTTCAAAGTTGACAGGTGCCGAACCTGTGCAATAATAAATACCTACTCGAGAAAAATACAGATTTTTGTATATAGCGGTGAGTAGGGTCGAATCCACAGGGACTGGGGATAATTCGTTTCTTCTAGAGTTCGAAGTATGGGGGTTTTCAATGGGAGGCAAATAAAAATGAAATAAAACAAACAAAATTCAAAACTAACTCATAAAGCACAATTTACTAAGAATAGCAATTAATAAAAGTTCTACCCAAAGGATCAACTGCTCAGGCACGGTCCAATTAAATGCTCATCGATGCAAAGATATTTCATCCATTTATCACTAGGTTGGTTATAGCCATCAATAAGCTCTGACAACCAGCTCTTCCTTACTTTTTCGACAGTCAAGGTACGACCATTGACTGCTTCTCTAACCAGATAACAACCCTAGGTACGACCGTAGGAATTTAATTACCCAATTGCATTAAAGCTAGAAGAACCCAACCCTAACCAATAAACACGCTAAGAGGGTTTATTTAAATTAGATCTTGCATTTCCCCATCATAAAACCAATTATGGTGGTTGCCACGAGGTGTTAACTAAATGAACAATTACGGATTCTATTTAATTAACGTGGCAGTAGGCTATTAAATTAAATTAAATACCCGGCCGTTGATATTCAATTAATAAAATACCCATGAACAATTAATTCAGGAAACGCACGAATAGCAATTAATTGGAGGAAATAATGAAGATTCGGTTAGATCTCACAGATATTATGGACCGCGCCTTCGCGTCAACCTTTGGGTAGAGGAGGAAATTAGCCGCTCCTCATCGTGTCAATCCCGCGTGATTTAATTGAAAACACCCGCGCAAACATCACAGAATTTGGAACGCTGAAATACCGAAGAAAGAAAAAGGAAAAAGTCTTCCTTGTCTCCGCGTTGATGTTTGTACTGAAGCCCAAAAGTATAACGCACAAGCCAACGGAAATTGTACAGAGCCAAAGTAAAAGCAAAAGAGTCAAAAGCGCCCAAGCCGAGAGCGAAAACGAAAAGGTCTGCTGACGTCTGACGGCTAGGAAAAAGAAAACTAAAGCCTAAAGTAGATGATGTGTGAATCTGGCTTTTTCCTCTCTTTTTAATAGCCGCCGCAGGAGGTCAAGCCACCAAAAGAAACGTCTGGCCCAATTCCTTGAAACAAAGGGACTTTTGGAGTTTTAATCCCGTGCTCCTCGCGGTTCACGTGGACCGCAGTCCAGCTTTCGGTTTCGTCCACCTTCTAAGGCGTGGCCACGCCCTGAGACGAGAAGTCTTCTGGAAATTTACCCCGCGAGATCATTTTTCATGCCTACCACCTACAATTCACACAAATATCGAATATGAGTGAAATTCCAATTCTTAGCACCGTGAATAGCCAAAATTAAGACAAAATAACAGTGCAAAATATGCCAAATAACCGCTCTATCAAATCCCCCCACACCTAGACAATGCTTGTCCTCAAGCATTTCGGAGCTCAGAAATACAATCAAGAAAGCACAGGTCTTGCAGTAATCTATACTAACACAAGCATCCCGCATTCCTGACAATGCCACCAAGATTAGAACATACTGGATAGGTAGGAGTCCAAAAAGAATATGAACAGTAATACTCGTTACCTCCAAGAAAGTGTATGAATACTAGAAACGCTCAAACCAACATCATAGAATGACATTACCATAAGCTTGCACATTTATCACATCTCCACCACTCGAAAGTGAACTAAATACACAAATCAAAGGGACTTTGATAGGGTTGTAATGGGATTTAGGTAAAAGGCGGGATAAGAAGGTAAAAATAGGGTGTAATATGTCAAGAGAATGTCCAATATCCACTACATAACCACAATGCTTTATCGGGGCAATTTCTCAAGTAGGGCATTTCTATTTGCTGTTTTCATTGTACAAGTGTCGGAAGTCGTTCCTCTTTTTTTTTTCTTTTTTTTTTTTGTTGGAGAGGACGTCTAGCAAGGCGTGGGCACGCCCTGGAAGACAGAGTCTTCTGCTCACCAGCTTTTTGCCGATTTCTCTCCCCTTTTTCCTTTTTTTTCTTTTTTTTTCTTTTTTTTTCGATCTTAGATATACAGAAACAGCACCATACAGCATCTTTTTGACAATACTTGCCACCACAGATTTATTTACTTTGCACAAGTAATGAATTTCAGACATCGCTTAATGACACAAGGTTGAACAAAAGAGTCTAAAAAGGGTCATGGATTATCCAATACGGCTAACAAACAAAAAGAGGGATAAAAGCTCAAATTGGTTCACTATTGGGAGATAAGATGAGGGCTTGATTTTTAGATAGCTAAAGAGGGTTAAATCCTAAATGTCCTTATCATTTCAAATGCATCCAATTCAACAAAAATGTGGTTTCGACATGTATAAACTAGCAAGTTCTAGAATGCCAATACCATGTGTGATACCCACTCAATCAAACAAAAATAGAGCAAACAAGAATAATGTGCTCATATAAGGCTCAAAAGCTCCGAAAAGTTTAAAAAATGGGTCAAGTCCAGCGTATTCAACACTCAACAACACTGCCAAGGGAAAACGAAATGCATAGCTAGTATATTTACCCACATACCCACACACCTTGATTGTATCATTTATCACAGCAACATGCTCCAGCATTAACAAGCATAGAAATAAACAAAAAGCCGACTAACTACAATGTTTTCTTTTTTTTTTTATTTTTTTTTGTCATTTTTTTTTTGAGTAACAAAGCAAAAAGAAATAATGGAAGCCACTCCCCCACACCTAAAACCTACATTGTCCTCAATGTAGAAAAGACAAATGAAGTATTAGGAGAAAAAAAAAAAGAAACTTCCCTGATCATCGGGGAAGGAAAGTGAGACACTAAGGCGGAGGAGGTGAGACGGTTGCGTGCACAAGGTGGTGTGGTGGCGGCGGACGCAAGGTGGAGTGGCGGCGATGGATGCAACAGCAACAGGAAGGAGACGACTGAACCTAAAACAAAGTGAAAAGGGATTAGACAAGACAGGGAAAAAAAAGTAGAAAAGTGGGGCTAGGAAAATTTTTTTTTTCTTTTTGACTTTCGTTTTCGGAAGGTTTGGAAGGCGTGGGCACGCCTTGGAAGCTAGAGTCTTCTGACCATCAATTCCAAAGCTTCATTCCTTAGGCATGATCAACTAGAGTGGGCATGTCCAACTGCCAGCTTCCTGCCACAAAACAACAATCCATTAAATGACACTAACACTTAATAAAAATTCCAAAAATATAAGAAAACTAAAACAAAAGAATCCTTGGGTTGCCTCCCAAGCAGCGCCTTTCTTTAATGTCTTTGGCTAGACATTGTCCTGTTTATTCACGGAGGATAAAATCGTGTAGCTCGTTTCAGTGCTTCATCTTCTATGTAATCCTGATAGCCCTCGTAAATAGAGTAATTCTTGAATCCACGAGCTACGGTCTTCCATGGATTAGTAGATGGCGCCAAACAAACAAGTGATGACCTTAAATCTTCACTCACTCCTCCATCACGAGCACTTATTGGTTCGAGATATTTTGCCATCGCAACTCTTAACTTATTCCTGTCATGAAATTTAAAATCTTCTGGTATAATAAAATCAATTTCACTAACAGGAATTGAAGAATAAGAGTTAGAAAAATATTGATTAAGGAATGGAGGAGATGTCACCGCATTTGGAGATTGTTCACTAGATTCATTCATTTGAACAATTTGATATTGGGGTCTCATGTCTTGTACTTCAACTTTCTTTTCAACTGCATCTTTAGATCCTTCTTCTTGAGATCCTCGCAGTACCATGTCATTTGTCAGGATAATTGCACTCTCATCTTCCTCATGATCGATAATAGTCGGTGAGGGCAATTCTTCATAAACTGGAGAAATCAATTTGCTCATTTTAGATGCCCATTCACGCCTTCCTTCTTTCATCTCTTTACTCTTCCTTTGTGTCTCCTGTTGAAGTTGATGTACCTCCTGTTGAATTTGATGTGTGTTAGCAGCTATTAATTCAACAATTTCTTCAAGAGACATACCTGACATGAATGACGGTTCTTGAGACTCTAGTTGTTGAAAATCTATTGGCCTTTGTTCATAATTAAAATTGGAATCATCCCACCATCTTTGATCATACCCGTTTGAATAAGGGTCATACCATGCTTGATATTGAGGTGAAAAATTTCCAAAAGTATCGATTGGAGCACTTAGACCATCTTGAAATGTATGGCACATGTCGGTTGAATGATCTGAGGCAAAATAAGTTCCACAATTTGCAACAGTCCATTGATTATTAGAAAAAGCACGAGTCTCATAACCCATTCTAAAAGTAAAATCAAATCTATCACCAAAATACGGAAAGTTAGCAGCCATACACTATATAAAAAAAATGAAAATAAAATAAAAAAATGAAAACAAGATGAACTCGTAAAGAAACAAATTAATCAGGCACCTGTCCCCGGCAACAGCGCCAAAAATTGACAGGTGCCGAACCTGTGCAATAATAAATACCTACTCGAGAAAAATACAGATTTTTGTATATAGCGGTGGGTAGGGTCGAATCCACAGGGACTGGGGATAATTCGTTTCTTCTAGAGTTCGAAGTATGGGGGGTTTTCAATGGGAGGCAAATAAAAATGAAATAAAACAAACAAAATTCAAAACTAACTCATAAAGCACAATTTACTAAGAATAGCAATTAATAAAAGTTCTACCCAAAGGATCAACTGCTCAGGCACGGTCCAATTAAATACTCATCGATGCAAAGATATTTCATCCATTTATCACTAGGTTGGTTATAGCCATCAATAAGCTCTGACAACCAGCTCTTCCTTACTTTTTCGACAGTCAAGGTACGACCATTGACTGCTTCTCTAACCAGATAACAACCCTAGGTACGACCGTAGGAATTTAATTACCCAATTGCATTAAAGCTAGAAGAACCCAACCCTAACCAATAAACACGCTAAGAGGGTTTATTTAAATTAGATCTTGCATTTCCCCATCATAAAATCAATTATGGTGGTTGCCACGAGGTGTTAACTAAATGAACAATTACGGATTCTATTTAATTAACGTGGCAGTAGGCTATTAAATTAAATTAAATACCCGGCCGTTGATATTCAATTAATAAAATACCCATGAACAATTAATTCAGGAAACGCACGAATAGCAATTAATTGGAGGAAATAATGAAGATTCGGTTAGATCTCACAGATATTATGGACCGCGCCTTCGCGTCAACCTTTGGGTAGAGGAGGAAATTAGCCGCTCCTCATCGTGTCAATCCCGCGTGATTTAATTGAAAACACCCGCGCAAACATCACAGAATTTGGAACGCTGAAATACCGAAGAAAGAAAAAGGAAAAAGTCTTCCTTGTCTCCGCGTTGATGTTTGTACTGAAGCCCAAAAGTATAACGCACAAGCCAACGGAAATTGTACAGAGCCAAAGTAAAAGCAAAAGAGTCAAAAGCGCCCAAGCCAAGAGCGAAAACGAAAAGGTCTGCTGACGTCTGACGGCTAGGAAAAAGAAAACTAAAGCCTAAAGTAGATGATGTGTGAATCTGGCTTTTTCCTCTCTTTTTAATAGCCGCCGCAGGAGGTCAAGCCACCAAAAGAAACGTCTGGCCCAATTCCTTGAAACAAAGGGACTTTTGGAGTTTTAATCCCGTGCTCCTCGCGGTTCACGTGGACCGCAGTCCGGCTTTCGGTTTCGTCCACCTTCTAAGGCGTGGCCACGCCCTGAGACGAGAAGTCTTCTGGAAATTTACCCCGCGAGATCATTTTTCATGCCTACCACCTACAATTCACACAAATATCGAATATGAGTGAAATTCCAATTCTTACCACCGTGAATAGCCAAAATTAGGACAAAATAACAGTGCAAAATATGCCAAATAACCGCTCTATCAAAAGTTCATGATAGGGAGGTTATGTATAACTTTTGAAATCATAGGGGGGTTATGTAAAAAAATGCTAAACTACAGGAGGGTAAAGTGGAATTTATCCTAAATAATTTTCAACTTTACATAAGGGTATTTTTGACATTTTAGGTGACTCCGTTGCGAATGATCATTCCCATCACTTTGACACTTTAATCCAAATCATGAGGGGGTTATGTATAGTTTTTGAAACCATAAGGGGGGTCATGTAAAAAATGCTAAATCCCGGGGGTAAAGTGGAATTTGCCCTTTATTAAACTATCTATACTAATTAGATTCACGTCCAAAACGGGTCGGAGACTATACAAATTGATAGCCGGGGTAGATGACTCAACGAAGTCACAATCGAAATTAATGGGAATTAATCTGCACCCAAGTAAAAAGCTTAGCTCTGCAGCAAAATACAGTTTTGTTTCATAACTACAGCATTTGTACTTAGAGAAGAAAACTCGAGATAAACTGCCAATCCATATCTTAAGAGTGGTGCGTTGAATATACCTGATACAGAGGCAAAACGGAGGGCCGCCTCGATCATGCGAGTCTGAGCAGAATGGACATCAGAACCAGGGACAACGGAGCTAGAGTCATAGAAGCCAACATGAAAGTGATCGCCAACTAGTTCCTCTACTATTTTAGATTGGACATTATATGCCATCGCAATTGCCTTGTTCATCTTCTCTGTCTCCACCTTTCCCTCTGTATCCATCTTCTCCCCCTCCATTATTGTTGGTTGTACCGCACAATCCTGTTAACCTTACTCAAGTTTTAGTGCCAAACTAATGAAGGACAGAAAGAAAGATGGTTTTTTTTTTTTTCAGGGTCACATAATATGCAGGTACTAATTCTTTCCTGCTAGACAGCAAGTGTTCCAGATCTAAGCAAAAGAGAAATCCCATACATTAGCATGCAAACAGCTGCTGGATTTTTCCAATAACGAAGAAAAACAAACGTCTGAAATTGATACCCTAAAATTTTTACAAAAAAAAAATCAATTAATGAAGTGGACCACAGAAATTGAGAGCCAGGTATATAATAATTACCTAGCTAGCAAAGAACAAAAGCTTCAACGTGTCCTGAGAAGCAAAGCAGCACGCTAGACAACTTGTGAGAAGAACGAGAGAGAGGGAGAGGGAACAATGTGGCACTGAGTGTATTGGCTTTCATTGACTATAAAGGTACTAGCATGATAAAATCTGCTTGTAAATGTGTTCCAATGTATGGGGATATTTATGTAAAACACCTTTGAGGTTTATAACAATTTCATGTTGCTCCATTCAAGTTTTTGAAAGGTTACAATGATCTCCTTTATTTGGACGTCTAGATAATATGTGTCGTTCATATTAAATAAAATTTAATGTCAAGGTACAAAAAGGAATTTACCAAAAGGAGCTCTGTGACCAAAAGGATGCATTTTTTTTTTATATTTAAGGGACTATTTTAGCTAATTCTAATTGCGAGGGGCTAAAAAATTATCAAAAATGGAAGGAACCAATTTGACAAATTTTCCTTTATTGTAATATTATTTGCATGTGTAATATTAATGGGAAAAAATTTAAACAATCTAAAAAGTTGACCTTACAAAATTGTCCTGTTTTGGGTATGTGAAATGAACATAGAACTCATTCCTTTAGCATTAACAGAAATATTTGACGGAATGACTGCTAGTATACTGATTTAAGAATTTAGTGATTATATTTGAATGGTCAAAAGAGTACGAGGGGAATAGTTTAGTGGTTGTTGGACTTTTTAGATTTGGATTGAGAAATTTAGTGGATATGATTACCCTTAAATTTTGACACTTGATTTGTGTTTGGTTTATTTGTAAACTAAGAGCAAAATGCCATGAAATAACCAAGGGTATGTTGATTAATTAGTTGAGTGGTTAAATTGAGACGAGAAATAGTTTGGTAGCTACAAGTGGATGCCAGAAATAGTTTAGTGGTCGCCATTTTTTTTTTTTTTGCCCAATAATAAAAGAGCAAAATTTGTTATGCAACGTGCATGGTGGTTCACACATGCAAGTCCTCCGTTAGCTCCCTTGATTTTCCTTGCAGATCCCAGAAAAAATATTCCTTATGGAAACGAGCTAAACAGTGTAAATTGAGTAAAACTATAACAATAAAGGATCAAAATAGTAATACTTCCAAATGGATAATGTCCAAACTCCTAGAAAAAGTGGTCAATCTTTATTATACGGAAGTTTGTCAAAATAGTCCCTCATATTTTTAATAAACACAGTTTCAGTCACTCACATTCAAAATCAATCAAAATAGTCTCTTAGATATTAAATAAAAATGCGCCCATTTGGTCTCAGAACTCACTTTTGATTAGTTTTCATGTCAAAAAGCGCACTGTGTCTTAGGTTCCCACAATTTCAATGGCAAAATGGGAACATTCATTTCACTTGAAAAAAAGAAAAAAAAAACTGATGACAATCGCATGATCACTTCTCTAGGAATCCTAATTCTTATCCACCAAACCCATAGTCGAACAAGAAAGCATAAAGGTCACTTGCAGGTTACTCTTTCATGTTTGATTATGAGGTTGGTGGATAAAAATTAGGATTCTCTATTCAAGAGGTGGTCATATGATTGTCTTGTGCTTTGTTTTTTTTTTTTTTTGGAAGAAAAGAAATTGTGTTCCCATTTTGCCATCAAAATTGTGGGCACCTAAGAGGCGTGCACTTTTTGGCCAAAAAACTAATAAAAAATCAGCTCTGTGACCAAAAGGATGTATTTTTTTATATATATTTAAGGGACTATTTTAGCTAATTCTAATTGTGAGGAACTAAAAAAGTTATCGAAAATGGAAGGGATCAATTTGACAATTTTTCCTTTATTATAATAGTATCTGCATGTGTAATATTAATGGGATCAGGGGCTTTATAAGTTTTATTTTCCACAAGTTTGCTCTTCGATGCAACTGGGTTGGAAAATGGTATAACAAAAGTTTAAATATATTGTAATTGATTTGAAATATAGTGCAATAAAATGTGAAATTACTAACTTATCCCGAAATCGAGTAAAGTACAACCCCAAATCTATGTTTTCAGAACCGGACCGGATAGCGACTCGGCCGAAATCAGGGGTTAGGAGTCAATGGGTTCGACCGGGGGGTCGAACCGGATGACGTCATAAATAAAAATTATTTAAAAATTAAAATATTATATATATAATATCTAATAATATATTAATATTAATAAAGGTATATTCATATATATTTGATGTTTCAAATATATTTAACAAGAAAATACAAAGAAATTAGAACAATCAAGTAGCAATTTATATTATTTAATAAATATTAACAAGTTTAGAATTAAAATTATGAATTTAATTGAAAAATAACATCAAATTTTAGGACAATATTTATAAAGTATCAAATATTTGAGGTATATCAATAAGTTTTAACAATTTAGGGGGTCAAAACATAATATTAAAAAGTTTAAATTTTTTTTTTTAAAAAATTTACTGTTGAACCGGAAAAATCGATTTTTACCCGGTCAAACCCGTTTTTTGACCGGATTTTAAATTTCCGGTTTTTTAATATGACTCGGATCGACTACCTGACCGGTTCCTGGTTCGATCGGTTCGACCGGCCGGTCCGGTCGAAGTTTCAAAACAGTGCCCCAAATCCAAATCAGGGGCCTCTCTAGAACTAAACATGTAAATCTCATTTTAAAAAAATTATTAAATTGCAAAGATTGAAATGCACAAGAAAAACGTAATCTCAAAGAATCAAAAGTATTTGAATAAGATCATAATCCAAATCAAAGTGATCAACAACCAGAATCATGTGATCAAGAGTGCCGCTATTACTTAAGAAACACTTTATTCTTTATTAATTAGAAAAACACTCAAATCTTTATCCACACGTGAATCACCAATTACGTCTTTGATTATTTTCTGCAGGTATGAACTATGAGGTCAATTGGGTGTATCCACCATGTAAGAGGCAAATCAAAACTCAGAAGAAATGTAAGAATCTATATCCAGAAACCATTATTGCGCATGACAAATTGTTTTATACGGAAACAGTACCCGCCACATGCGAGCCAAGTTAGAGCTCAGAAGAAATATGTGGCTGCTGCGGAGTCAATCTCAAGAAAACAACGTTGCACCTAAGACATTATTTTATTTTTAGCAGAAAACCTTAATTATAAAAGTAAGTAGGCGGACAATCATAGAGGTCCAGTGTCGACGCATCCAACGCTAGCTCACCAAATCTTTGGATTGCATTTTTTGCCAAAAACTTTTGTGAATTTTCGTGAGAATTCTTTTATATATTCTAATTACATTTTTACTTTACATACATCACATTTTAAGAACAGTATTATAATATATTTTTTATATAAAAACTCTCAAATTTTGTCCTCAATTATGATTTACCCTTAAGTCTGTCATTATTGGTACCTATTTTCAGCACAATGGCATAAAAAAGACAGTTATTAATCTAAGAAACAATTATTAAATTGTAAAAATTGAAAGGCACAAGAAAGACATAATCTGAAATAGTCAAAACTATTGGAAAAATATTGGAGTCCAAATCGAAGAGATCGACAACTAGAATCATGTGATCAAGAGGTGCAACTACCACTTAAGAGCACTGAATTCTTTATCAACCCAGTTGCATTATTGATTATCTGTCGGTACGAATTATGAAGTCAATTCGATGTATCCGTCACATAAGATGCAAATCAAAGCTCAGAAGAAGTCTAAGAATCGATATCTAGAAACCATTATTATGCATACTAAATTGTCTTATACAGCAAGTTAAATTCTATCTAGTTCAAATCAGTTTGTATAATTTTTAATACATTCGGTGTAAATTTGTATGGTTTTGATATAAGCATCAAAATAATTATAAAAAATATGCTCCTTTAGTCCCAAAACTCACTTTCAATCAATTTTTAAGCCTAAAATGCACCTTCACTCTGGTTCCCACAATTTCAACGGCAAAATTGAAACGCAATTTGTTTCTCTTAAATAAAAAATACATCACAATCACATAACCACACCTCTAGCAAAGGAACCTTAATTCATATCCACCAGATCCATAATCAAACAAGAAAGTGTAAAGGTCACCTGTAGTTTACTCTTTCTTCGATTATGAATTTGCTGGATAATAATTAGGATTCCCTATTCAGGAGGTGATCATATGATTGTCATGTGCTTTTTGTGGAAGAAAATAAATTGTTTTCCCATTTTGCTATTTAAATTGTGGGTACCTAAGAAAGGCACACACTTTTTGGCTAGAAAACCGATCAAAAAATGAGCTTGCGAACTAAAAGGATACTTTTCTTTTGTTATATTTGTTGGACTATTTTGACTAATTCTAATTTTGATGGACTAAAAAAAATTTTTTTCGAAAACTTAAGGGACCAATTTGGCAATTTTCCTTTTAAAATATAATCTACATGTGTAATATTAATAGGAGCAGGGGTTGATGGGGTCTCACAAGTTTTATTTCTCACAAGTTTGCCTTTTAATGTAATTGAGTTTGAAAATAGTGTGACAAAAGTTGAAATATGATTTGATTGAGTTGAAAAATGGTGTAATAAAATATGAAATTCCGAAATACCCGAAATCGAGTAGAAATACAACTTGTCAGACCTTGAATCGAGATCAAGGGGCCTCTTCAGAACAAAACATGTAAATCCAATCTAAGAAACAATTATTAAATTGTAAAGATTGAAATGCACAAGAAAGACATAGTCTAAAAGAATCAAAATCCAATCTAAGAAACAATTGTTAAATTACAAAGATTGAAATGCACAAGAAAGACATAATCTGAAGGAATAAAAAATGTTTGAATAAGATTAGAATCCAAATCAAAGAGATCGATAACCACCAGAATCATGTGATCAAGAGGTGCAGCCACTACATAAGAAAAACTATATCCTTCATCAATTAGGAAACACTCGATTCTTTTATCCACTCGTTAACCACCATACAATTATTTTCTATAAAACTTCCCAATAATTACAATCTAAACCAGCTCATAGTCTCACAAAATATATAGTTAAAAACTCAATTTTCTTTATTTAAACCCAATTTCTGAGCAGGTCTAGTAAATGTCTGTTCAACACAATTGATTAACTCGGACTGAACCACCGGACCCTCGGTTCAACGTTTAGAATCGGTCAGTCCGTATAGTTTAAAAACGCTGTTATATGGTGATAGAAAATTGGCAGACACGGTGGATAAGAAAACTCTCGTACGTGAAACCAATGCATTCGGATTTTCAGCTACATATCTTTATGGGACAAGATTCAGAGAGCTAGCGTATTTCAGAGCTGCCATACAGTTCTGAACCAATCTTTCATGGGAACAGTAAGGACGGTCCCATATATAGAATAAATGATCCAATAATGAAGGATGGCTTGACAAATATGACAGCGCTGTAACTTGGTTAATCAATGGGATGGCACTATGGCAGGTGGACCTTAATGTCAGAGCCTTACCTGGTAATCGGAAATGATAGACACTGGCAACGGCAAGGAAGAAAGGAACGGCTGAACAAGTGGCGGTGGAATGTCCAATGAGCAGACAATGGTCGTCAGAGATGTTAAAATAGGTGATTTAAACGAATTTAAATGGTTATAATTTATTTATTTTTATTTTTTCACATGTTGTCTGATAAAAAATAATGGTATCTTATTATTATTAGATTGATAATAAATTCAAATGTTTAATACGTGAGTTTGAATATATAATTATTTTGAATTGGTATAAACAAGTGATTCGAGTTAATCCACTGTCTACTAATTAAATAAGTTTAATTAGATACCCATTTAGACCTATTTAAAATTAGTGGGTGGATTTGAACGGGTTATTGGTGAACGAGTTTGGGCGAATCAACATAATTAAGTTTGTGATTGACACTCTAATTATAGGATACCCCTCCAAAAGTATTTGAATAAGATCGGAATCCAAATCAAAGAGATGGACAGCCACAATTATGCGATCAAGAAGTCCAGCTACTACATAAGAAAAACTTTTGGGATTAGCTGTTTTTTGAGGTGTTTTTAAAAAATTTTACTGTAACAGAGTTTTTAGATTATATTTTGGGATTAAGAGTAGAAGAATTTCTAGAATATATTTTGAGATATTTTTAAAATTTTAAAAAAATTTAAACTAATTTTTAGATTACCTTTTAGAGTACTTTTTAAAAATTTTATTGTATTTGAAAAACTAATTTTTGAAAAACACTCTCATCCAAACAGAACTTTGCTCTATTATTTGTTTGTCTTTCTTGGTACCTCTTTTTCAACAAAATGGTGTTAGAAAGACGATTATTAATCTAAGAAACAATTATTAAATTGTAAAGATTGAAAGGCACAAGAAAGACACAATCTGAACCAAACGAAGCTATTGGAAGAAGATTGGATTCTGATCAGCAACCAGAATCATGTGATGAAGGGGTGCAACTATCATTTAGAAACACTATCAACTCGTGAATCACCCAGTTATATCTTTGATTATCTGTGGGTAAGAAATATGAAGTCAATTGAATGTGCATACCACGTAAGAGGCAAATCAGAGGTCAGAAGAAATGTAAAAATCGATATCAGAAAACACGTAATAAAATGAGTGCAGCCCTAGTAGACGGATAATCATAGAGTTAATAAATCAAAGTTTTCCAGCTAGCTCTCCAAATCTTGTCTCGCAAAATAGGAAAAAGAAAATGCAATTTTGGTCTCTAAAATTATAAGAGCGATTTTAGTCGTCAAAGGTTAAGTCAAAGTAAATTTGGTTCCTAATATTTTAAATTTGAAGCACATTTAAGATAAGTGACTGATTTTTTTAAAAAAAATTTCAACATGATCCTTGCCAAAAAAAAAATAAAAAATCATGATACTAAGGATTCATTACTCACATACTAAGAATTCATACTCACATTACTCACTTTAACCTCTTGACTCCTAACCCTAAATTCGATTGAGTCAATGTCTCAACTTGAATTTCAAAACTCTGCTATGTATTAGTCCCAAAAATTGTCTACATATCAATCAATGTATGCACGGATGTTTGCCATTTTACCATTGTGAGAAGAAAATGTTTACTTTTAAGAGGATACATTATTGGTGGAATCAATATATATTTAACTCAAAATAAGAGCTATGCCGATCACAAAATTAAAATTTAACTTCTTTTGTCCCATTAGAAGTGTCATTCATTTTTGTATACTCCCCAATGTTTATCATTCAAAAAGGTTCACATGCTTGTTATTTTCACTATATGTCAATTCTTAATCATTGTCCTTTTGTGGATGACATGTAGTAACCATTCAGATGTTGAATTGGCAAGATAAGTTGAGAAGACAAGAATTAATATACTATTCTTAACAAGCGAGATTTTCATTAGAAATTTTTTTTTGTGACTGATAGATTATAATGAAGAATTATCAATTGTTTCAACATCCTCCTAGAAGTTGCTTAAAGCGACTAATTAGTAAGAGATAAGCACTTGTTCTCCAATTAAAAATAACATTCTAATCCAGGCTCCTGAAAATGAGTCCTCTAAGTAAATTGTTTGAATTGATACTCTCATAACAAACATCCGCCCCAAGAAAAAAAAATTCTACCTTAGCAGAAAATAAGGAAAAAAAAATTGTAGGCTGCAATTTAGTAACATCGTGTTCGAGATGCTCTAAGAAATTGAAGCATATAAAACTTTGATTGTCAAAAGTAGCGCTACTGCACCACGGAGTCTTATTCGAATACAGAGGATCAAACATGAGGCACACGTATTTCACATTCAGACTAGGTGACTTGAGCTAAACAACTAAAATGCTGAAAGCACTTGAGCTCTTGGATATCACTAGATTGAAGAAGTAGATGGAACCAATACAAAGTCCTCTGCTGGGAAGAAATGGCAAACAGGGGCAGTGCCCGGTTCGATACCAAGCACTCGGAAGGAAACGTGATCATGGCTCCATTGGGAGGTATCCATGTGACATATTGCAATAGCTTCAACCCTATCACCATTCTCTCCAGATAGAACAGTCCTGTATAAACGATTATCACCCTGCTGATAGTGGCAATAGAAAACTATGTAAGGATATGGCATGGTGTGACAGCCAACCATCTTTAGAGTTGAAATTCGTTCAGGAGCTTCTGTGATTGTATAGTTCTGTAATCTTGCAGCATTAGACTTTGCGAGGCGATGCGTTGATAAAACTTCAATGTCGGTATTCAATCCCAAGATCTTTCGTGCAAAATCTACCAATGACTCGTAGGATGTGGCACAAGCCTTGGGTTCTCCCTTCATAGGCTTAGTCTCGCATGCTCGGAGTGCATGTTCCATCACTTGGGCCTTGCGAGATCCTTGAGGGAATGAAAAGTGTTGAAGAATCTGTGGGAGTTTTGCCAAGGAAAAGGGGATAGCATCGGCTTGTTCTCTAGGCCAGAGATAAGGAGCATGGTTCAAAGTCGTGGTCGCGGTCACGGTCGCGGCCTGGAACGTTCCACATCGGTTTCGGCATATCGGTCGCGGTCTCGGTGAGACGCAAATTTTAAAATATTTAATATTCTAAAAATTATTAATAATATAAAAAAAGTATGCTAAACAAAAATAATAAAAAATAGCAAAAGAAATGGCTAAGTCAATCCGTCACGGTGTAACTCGGCCGATTTCTCGTCTTGACTCGGGATAACTCGGAGTGACTCGGTGTAACTCGGCCGAGTCAATCCGTCGCGGTGACGTCTCGGCCGATTTCTCGGCGAGTCAAGTATCTCGGTATCGTTTCGTCACGGTATCGTATCGGTAGGGGCCGAGACGGTGACGACTCGGCCGAGTCGTCTCGGTCTCGGCCGAGACTTCGAACCATGAATTAAGGAGAGGACAAAGGACTAGGATCTCCGTCAGGGAAAAGGATACTCAATGTTTTGCCTAACTTGAGATCATCTAAAACGAAAAACACGGTTGCTCTTGGATCCATCTGATGCATCATGTGGGATGAGGAAAGAGAAGGATCGTGCATTGACTTCTTTTCATGGACGTGAGCAACATGATGTGTCTTATCATTTCGATGAGGATTATTAGCATCCATGCCCTGGAGCCTGATTGCATTAGTACCACTATCCTTGGCCTTGGGTATGATATCACAGGCTCCCTGTACAGGTTGTATAGTGTTGTAAGACAGCGAGAATTAAGTCCACAGCATATAAATCACAAAAAACAATTTATTGTCAAAGTAACTTACCAGGACAATCAACAGATGAAGGAGGAGAACACAAGAAACAAGTGCTTTGGAATCCATCAGTTGGTAGGTATTATTTCCCTTGCAAGTCCTCTTTTGAAGGTTTTCACAAGACAAGAAGCAAATAATACATATATATGGATACAATGAAGCGTGCTCGAGGAACTGATTCTTCTTTAACATATTATAATTACAATTTTACCCCTGGAAAATTACATCTTGATTTTCTAATGTAATATCGCATCTTGGCCTATGTTTTTAAAATGAGTTTTTTTGGAAAACTAGTTTTTATATTTGGAATCTATAATAACAAACTCCAAAAATACTCCCAAAATCACTAAAAGTACACATCTCAAATATAGCTAACAAAAAAAAAAAAAACTACCGGCCCTTTCTTCCTCCATTCACTACCGATCACTACCACACGCTGCCACCACCACTTCCCTTTCTTCACCACCACCACCATTCCTTCCCCTTCCCTCCTTCCTCCTCCTTAATCCCCTTCTTTCTCCCTCCCCTCCCCCCGCAAGAAAGATAATTTTGCAACTGGTACACCTATGAGTCATTGCATCAATTCCACAGCCTCAATATGGATCCGCGCGCATTCAATATGGATCAATCTTTTCTTTTTTATATATATATATATATATAGACAATATGGAATTTATTCTTTTTGAGAAAAATGCACAAAAATTTCCTCTGATTTGCACGTTATTGAACCCCCTTCTCATTCAAAAATATCCAAAAGACTTTATTGGTTTAAACTGATAGGTAAGGTGGATGAAAACCATCTATATTGATATAGAGAAAAGTTTGAAATTCCCATACTACCTTTACTTTTAGGTTAAAAAAAGGTTAATTAAGGGGCTTAATTATAATTTCAAAAAAAATTTATATTCTTTATTAAAGAAAAAAGGAAGTTGAAGGGTAGAATTATAATTTTGAAAATTTCTTTCCTTTAACCGGATCATCTTCACCGATCCCCTCAATACGGCAACTCACAACTAGCGATTTCCACCGCAACTTAATTTTTTTTTAAAAAAAATTTCCATAACCACCGCTGCCTCCTTGACTTCCTTAACAATCTTTGTCGTGACCACCATCTTCATTTTTGTTTGCCATCACCATATCCCAAAGAAGAAAGGAAAAAACCCAGGTGAAAAAAAAGAGAGGAATTTGATTTTGTATGTGATTTTGGTTTGTTGTTTGGCCAATTTAGACGGGTTAGGACCCTTTCCGTCGAATCTCTTGATATTGATCCCTTTATTTATTTATATCTAAGTTACCGTAATTTTATAAAATCATTTGATTATGTCATTACTTTTCTTTGGATCTCTAGATCAATATATTAAAAAATGATATTCTTTTGGGAATATTTTGGCATTCAATTTGCATGAAACATTTTGAATGTTGAAAATGGGCTAAAATTGGAAGAAAATTAGTAATGACTAATCAAATGACAAAACTTTGTTAATTTCATACAAAATTTTAAGTATAACTAATATAGGTTATGAAATATATCATAAACGATATTAATTTTTGAAAATAATTTTTGAATTAAATTTGTGGTGATGTAATGGAGACAACTTTTCTCCAATTCAATATAGAGGTGACAAGTAGATATTTTACGTATTTTTAGTGTGTTTTATTAGTTAGTTTTGGTATGTTTTATTTAGTTTTATAGCTAATAAACTAGGATTCTAGTGAAAATATAACTTTTATGGTTAAAGTGCAAAAATTGCATTTTATGGATTTTTATGGTAAAAACTTCATATTTTTGTAGGTTTAATGATTCAATCATCAAATGGAGTGCATTGAGAAGATAATTGGATGATTGATGATGGTTTAAAGTGATAAAAATAAAATATGAAGTGTAAAAGAGAAAATGCAATTAAGAACAAAAGAATGCAAGAAAAGTCAGTTTTGGCAACCTGTGGTATTTCAGCTATATCTTGAGTTACACACATTGGATTAAGATGATTCTTGAATTTTGAAGCTAAGATACAGATCTACATTTGGTATGAAGACATCAAAGTCCAGTTCAGCCGTATTCCTAGTCAAAAAGTCGAAATACATAAGTCAAAGTCTGCTGTCGAAAGTTGACAATAGAGCTCTGACCAGTCAGTGGTATTTTGAGTATATCTTGGTCCTCAGAGCTCTAAATTGGATGATTCTTAATGCTTTGGAAAGCTAAGTCAAATATCTACAACTTTTGTGTTTTATAGAAGAGCTATGTCGGCCTCCAACATTGAGAAAAAAGCAGTTGAAAACGTATATGATAACTACAAATTGCTGACCAATGTGCATTGTTTCACACAACTCTTCCAACTCAATTCCAACCATTAATTTCGGTTGTATCTGACAAAAAACAAGTTGGAAAGTTGGAAAGACAATTCAAGAGAGTTTCAAGAGTTAATTTTGCCAACCAGAAACAACTCCTCTTGAATTCTCTATAAATGGCAGCCTTTGGAAACCATTTTGATAACTTTGGAAGGCTAGAAAGAACTCCACAAAAAATGCAGTCTTCATTAGTTTTTCTTGGTTCATTAGTGTAGTATAGGTAGAGTAGTTTTTCCTTCTTGTATTTGTATCTAGATTTGGATGAAGATTGGAGGAGCAAAGATGGAGAGTTAGAGCTCATGTGACAAGGGTGACATCTCTCCTATCACTTTCTCTTTTGTATTTGATTTCATGTTTAGCTATAATACAAGTTTGGCTTTGTTTTTCTTCATGTTTTTCTAAAGTTCATGCCTAGAGTGTGGATGAACTTTCTATATCTTGTTTATAATGTTTACTTAGTTATTTGGTGATATTATTTTGAACAAGTTATTTATCACTTTTGCTTTTCTAATCATGATTAACCGGCCATTAGTTGTGATTATCTAAAGGTATTAAGTTTGCAATGAAAATTGGAATTTAACACTAATTCAAAGAAATGATAAACCTAGGGAGTACACTCACGAGAATAGAGGTGCACCTATGTGGCTTTAGTGACTTGTTTCATGTAACTTCATAGAAGAAATGAACTTGTAATTAATTCATAACCATGAGAGTAGGTATGATTTAGTTACAAGTATAGTTGATTCACTACGAGAGTAGGTTTCACATACATTAGGAAATTACGCCATAACTAGCCAAGATAATAGCATTCACTTAACCGGTAACTTCACTTGCAAGAGTAGAAAGGAATTCCATATCTCTAGGAGTTTTCTAGTGTTATTTTCATTAATTTTATATTTATGGTAGTCCAGATAATAAAAGAGTTCGAAAAACACCGGTAATTGCAATCTTCTCTGTGGGATCGACCCTTAATACCTTATACTCGCTCACGATTCGTATACTTGCAATAAATCGCATGTGGGGTATTTAGGAATTGCAAATGTAAAACTTGATTGTGGATGAACTTATTGTATATGTATACCCCACGCAAGTCAAAAGGATTCTAGTCCAATTTAGACACGAATCTAGTCAATGTACACCTTAAAGATGATTTCCTAGCCTAAAATTTTGAGGCGTTTGAGGGTCAAAGGAGGTAATGGAGGTTCTCAAATGAATGTCAATTTTGTCTTAAATTCATGCTTATCTATGCTTTACCTTGTTAAATTGATACTACAGAAATGTTCTATGACTTCCCAGGATTGTCCTTGTGTTTTTTTTTTTGGATAAAAAATATATTTCATTAACGAATTGTTAGAAATCATTCAGTATGATTGGATGTATAATACTGTCCTAATACCAAGTCAAACATGCATTGAAAATTATAGATATGCAATTTAATATATACATATAATAGATCTGAAAAATTATGAACAATTGAAAAATATAAGAAATTTTAAAATTATCTTCGAATAAGATAAACCACTGTAGCTCCTTTCTGTGCATGTTGCAATCACCATATTTACTAATCAACAGTTTGAATCTCCAATAATTATGATGAGATTTGTCTAAATAAATCCAAGATACAAAAAAAAATTTAGATAAAATATTCAGATTTGAAATAAATTTAGTTCTAACAACAAAAAAATATAAAAATCTACATATGAATCCCTAGAAGAATAGAAAATTCTCACTAGCAACCCCTAAGAGAAACATAAAACTCTCAATAAAAAAATTTAGAAGATATTTTATTAGAAAAATAAAATGAAACAAAATTCTTGATAGGGAGATCATGGTGTGGTCTTCCTCCCTAAGAGGAGGTCTTTGTGAAGAGAAGAAAAATAGAGAGAAATTAGAAAAGAGAAAAAGCAGAGAGGAAAAGAAGTCGTTGATGCGTAGGATTGTCCTTTTGTTAATTTTACGACTGCCAGTGATTTATGCAGAAAAAGAGGCTAGATTAACTTCGGAGGCCAAATTGGACTCCAAAGTCGCAATGTACACAAAAAGAATATTTTATCCTGAAATTTTTCATAAGTTTGGGGACCTAATGGTAGTGGCCAGCAGTTGCGGGTGAGGGCTTGGTGGCACGACACCATTGCTGCGTTCTGGTTACTTCACCTCAAAGTACATAGAGAAGGACTCTTTAAAAAAAATAGGAAAAAGGAAATGGAAAAGAAAAAGAAGAGTTAAAACGAAAGAAATTGGAAGAACCAAATTAATCTCAAGTGTTTTGCATATTTTAACCTTTTTTTTGGGTACAATCTTGAAGAAGCACTGAACTTCCCCGGACCGATCTGACCTGATGAGCTCGGCGTGCTGATGAGGTGAGCGTGTCCCAAGCCTGCAAAACAAACAAGAGAGTCGTCTGAAAAGGGGGCCTCGAGGTCGTCCCCGAGGGCACTCCGACGGTCAAGTTAGTTCTCCGGTGAGTGAAGTTCACGGGAAGCAAAGCCGTTAGGAGTAATATGCCAATAGTGAGCGTACCTTGTGCGGTGGATGTGCGGCACCATTTATACCTGCTGGTAAGTCCGACCTCCGTACGTTTCGGGACTTGCCCAGAATGGTCTCAATCCCGCGCCGAGAGGGATTCTCCCCGCCCTCTGCGGGATTGTTTCCCAGGGCTTCTCGGAGCCCTAGTAGCGGTTTGCCCCAGGACGGCTGTCAGGGGCCTGGGGTCCAGTCCCAACTCCGACCTTCCCGGGCTGCCACGTGTCCAGGCCCAGGACGGAGCCTCCGCACCA